CAGACATGCCTAACGTGCAAGTTTATATAGATGACATAGTCATCTTTTCTAAGACTAAGGGCGGACATGCCGCATTAGTCAGGCGAGTCCTTCAGAGACTCAACGAACAAAACTTCAAGATTAATGAGAAACAATGTCACTTCGCCATGAGCGAAATACAGCTCTTATGCTACCGCATATCTGGGGAATGTACCAAAATCGACCCCGGTAAGGTGGAACACCTGTTAGATTGGTGAACATCAACTACAGGAAGAGATGTGAACAGCATGTGTATTTAGTCAGGGTAAAAACTCATATGATCAGTATGAGAAACCTTATGCAGAACACTTTAACACTTCGATGTTTTTCTATTTCAACTTCCCTGCAACTAAATCTCACGCTGATCACATGTTGCCTTTTTGCATAGGTTGTGACTCACATAGAACCGCAGCTATTATTAGAATGTTGCGGATGACAGGCTTAATCCACTCTCGGGAATCGGTTTATAAATTTATTCTGCTCTCGGAAGTCGGTTAAGTAATAGCTCAACTCTTGAGAGTAGTTTAAGCAGCTTGATTTGCCCTCGGGAGTGAGCTAAACTCTGATGACTTCCATAAATCAAGGATAGTTTCCTGCTGTAAAATCGGGCCTGAGACTTGTAGTCTCTCAATTCGCAATCATGGAACTATCGGAATAGGCATCGTTGTGCGCTGGTAGACGGTCGTGTGGTATTCGCTGGGCTTTATCCGTGTCACACTCGTTTCAGGAGATCTCAATTCCGCATCCATCAGGACATGTGAGAGAAGTTGTTGATTCGAAGGAGAGTGGCGGTGTTTGTCTTAGGGGTTTTCTTTTTCAGTCTCAGAGACATGTTCCCGGGCAGAGTTCGTAGCACTCACGTTACCCTGAACAACATCGGAGAGCCCCGTGTCCTGAGTACTGGAGGAAACTCTTCGTCAGTGTCGTTGGTTGCAGTGTCCTGGTGAACAAATTCGTCGAGTGTTACAGGACTGTCAGTCGTCTGGTGAATGCCCATGGTTATCAAAAAGGAAACATCCTCCACTGTGCAAGTTTACGCATTATTTCTAAGGCGAGAGTTGCATTCGGATAAGTTGCAGATGGGGCGGTGTCTTCGAGGCATGCTTGCCAGTCGACTTTGCATGCTGGCATATTGAAGGTACGTCCTGAGGGGCCGAGAGCGCCGTTGCCGTGAGCGCTGCAAAGAGTTAGAGCTGACGCGACGCGCCGTTGATAGCTATATTGCTTCATGAGTTATGTATAATGAGTTATATATCGAGGAATGAACAGGCTGTGCAGTCACTTTTCGACCTTGCCAAATCTTGAATTTCCGGGTCGCCTATTAAAATCTTGAACCTTCTAAGGGTTCTCATATATAGTAAATATAAGTATTATTAATTCAGAACCCATTATTATGGTATAGAGGGTTTATATACTTGCTCAAAATCACCATTCAAGTGCATGCGTGTCAATCAGACATCAATTTGGTGTGCGTATTCAAATATATGTCTTCGTTATGATTTTTGGGCCTTCGTTATACTTACATAACCATAATTAAACCACAATAATGTGCTTTTAATTGTTTGTGGGTGAATATTTAGTGAATATTGACTAAAAAAGTTCAGGAAATGAGATTCATCGTGCAATCGATGGCATTGATATCAAATGCGGTGAATACACTTTTTCTCGATTTTAGCAGCTGTAGCTTGCAATACGGTTATAAGGATGCATATACGATATTGTTTGGACAATATTTGTACGTGACAACATTGAAACTTTACTAATTATGCTTATTTAGACCCAATAATCGCGTTTTGGAGGATTCCGATGTAGTGTTAAACTCCTACGCATAGGTGTTCTACTTGTACTGCGACCTTGGCACCTTCGCAGATCATTTTCAAAATACTTAATCTTGAAATATGCCAAAAAAAAATAATTTATATTGGGAATAAATAGATTCCAGATTTAGCTAGTCAGGAACGGTTCTCAATTTTCGGCCCGATTTAATCCCCTTGGTACCTGGGTGGGGTGTTAAAAAAAACAGAAAAAATACAAAGGAGCGAGCCACTTCCCCCCCCAGAGCAGAGGCCAGTGAGACTGAGAGAGAGAGTCCAGACCAGTGTGCCCCCTGGCCCTGGGCCTTTGAACTGCTGGCCCTGGGCCTTTGAACTGGTCGCCCTGGGCTGCCACAGTGCCACCTATATAGCCATGTATGTTGCTATATATTTATACCGTAACTATTGGATTTATCTGACGTACATATCTTGGTGTTTAATATCATATCCTTGAAAACGGTTGCTTAACAATGGCAATGGCTGCGACAATAAGTAGACTATCATATAGCAAGTCTTGGAATAGGTGCCCACGATGTCTATTACAAGCTTTACCGATGCTCAAAGATGGGTCTAAGTATCGGTATGTTTGCTGCAGGCTCGTTCCATGTTGCACACTTTTATAAATAAGCGTGTGGAGTATTTTATAACTGTTTGTGTATGTGCAGTTCCTAGAAATCCTATATGATCACCCTGGTGTACCATTCGATTATTTCACGTGTCTATGCGTGTGTGGTTTATATACGAGCTACAGACAATCAAACCAGGTCTCGATTTACTACCCCAGGTGATCGACACTCGTTTGCTATTGTAATTATACAGGTCGCAAACAACGACAGTATACATATACATATACATGTACATATACATACACACACACACACACACACATATATATATCTATCTATCTATATATCTATATATATATATATATATATATCAATATATATATATCTATATATATATACTACTT